ACCTTGTATAGAATGGTCACACAAGTACCAGGAATCTCAGACCTGGCCAAGGATTCTTTGCCTATACATTATCCTGACATCTGCTATTTATACACAGAATCTGACGGTTGTCACCCCCAACAACCTATAGTTTACTAGCCCACCACCCAATCGATTACAGAAATCTATTGTCAATCTATCTCATTTATCAAATTTATTTATCAATCTATTGTCATTTTTAACTTATTTATCAAATTATAATTATTTTAAAAGCGGATTTAAAAAATTCGACTTCATTTAAAAAACGGATTTAACAAATCCAACTTTATAGGGAAAGTGAACATACCAAATTTGACTTCATTTAAAAAGCAGACATACTAAATCCGTTTTTTAATATTTCATCTAATTTTCTTATTGGGATACCACCCGAAATTCTTGACTTTATATATTTTCTACCTAAAAAATAAATTATTCATTTTTATCATATATTTAATTATTTAATATTTGATTAATTTGTAATTAATATATTTTAAAAAAATTTAATATAATGGGATCGATTTTTTAGATGCTCAAATTTTATATTTTATCGTGCTCAATTGCCTCCCATGATCAGGACATGCATAATAACCCATCTCAACCACATGGTCTCATGTATTGAACAGACATGTGCTCACAAATCAACAGCCAATTCTTGCCCACAAACTATCAACCATGTTAAGTCAATTCTATACCATGCATTTCGAAGCCGTACATTATTATTTTAATTGAATCCACCACGTGTTGCCATCTTCATCATTACTTTAATTGAGCCCACCATGTGCTGCCATCCTCAGACATGTGGTCTTTCGCAACTATGGATTCCCATAATTTGTCTGGTTTCGCCATCTATCTTGCATTCTCTTGCGCACCTTGCCCTACCCGTGCGAGCATCCTACATGCCTTGCTTGGGCATGCCAAGGCTGGGGGCATAAAAGTTGCCTAGAGCAATTTCCAAAGGGATATGAACGCAATGAGAGTCTGGGACATAACACCAGGACTTTTGTGCATCACTTTGCTTCAAACTCATGGAGTGCCTTGGTACAAGTTGCCACCAAGACACGTTCCTTCTCTGGCTAAATCAATTAGGGTGTAACACTAGACAACAATGACGGATCAGAGCAGCAACACACCGATTTGACTGTTGACCGGTGATGCAGGTGTCTAAAGCTTTGATAACTAATGTGTTATGATCCTTGTATTCAGGATCATTAGAGATGCTACACATCATTTCGTAGGTGGGTTAGTGTTAAAAACACAGGACCTGATGTCTGAGCTCGGGGATGGTCCGAAAGGATTTGAAGTTCAAAGCCAACTAGAAACTACCTAAACAACCATACTACTTCAAAAGAGCGCTGGGTCTACAATTTGAAGTTAGGATTCAAGCAGAAAAGCATGAAGGAGACATTATAGACCAAAAAAACAGAAAAAGAAGTGAAAAATTAAACTACCTTGAAGAATTCCCATCCCTTAAGATCATCAGGAATATAAAAAAGGTCAGTATGAATAGCACAATGAACCTTAAAAGTCAAGAGAGACACTAGATAAGGCAGTCATTACCACAAACATGAAACCGGAAAAACATCTTCTAAAAAATTTGGAGTTTTCTCTGGGCATGGAACAAAGCCGCACCAGATGCCTCAAATGTTGTAAACAAGTCCTGGATCTTTTCATTTGAGTGTTTCAAGATTATGGTTTCAAGCAGCAACAGATGGTTTGGAAGCAGCAGAAAGCCTGGACCTTTTCTTGGCTAAGCTCTCACTACGTCTCTCTCTCTGCTCCTTCAATCTGGTAGCAAGGAGCTTCTGGTACTCAGCTGCCTCAGACTTGGCCTTTGCAATTCTTTTCTTCTTGTCTGCAATTCTGGCTCGTTTCCTCTGCAAAGTCAATGGAGTGACCAATCTCTGTATCTTGGGAGCTTTACTGACCTTCTTCTCTGTCAACAACACAAGCACCAATTAAATGTTGTCCTTGATCATAAAATTTACAAAACTACAGATACACCCTTGATCTACCATTATACCAGCCCCATAAATAAGAGCAAAGACGAAATACCACGATAATTGTAGTTCTTCTAAACCAGGCAAAAGCAGACCAACTTACTGCCTTGCATCCACAGTCCACTGGGACAAAAAACATTTATACAGGTATAAAACTGAATAACCCACCAGATTTTGTAGTGAATGATCGACGGTACGTGTTGACATACTTTCGAACATCATCCTCCTTGGAGAGGTTGAAGAGTTTACGAATTTTGGATGCCCTCTTTGGACCTCTCATTCTTGGTTTCTCCGTGTCAGTTAGCCCAGGAAGATCATTCTCGCCCTTCTTCACAATAACCAAGTTCAGAACAGAAAGGTCTGGGCTGACAATGCACCCCCGCACAGACTTCCTCCTCCGTTCTCCATTGCGCCTACCATATCCACGGAAACATGGTGTCCCTGTCAAACCAAAATAAGGTAGTTGAAAAACAGAATCTCATGAGAAAGCGCACACAAAAAAAAGAAGCTCTAAGACCATGTCTGTACAATTAATTAGGAAAGAGGGTGGTGGGTTTGGTGTCCACCCATAAAATGGTCATCATACCATAAGATGTATATAATAACCACCTATAACTCCTTTTTTCATATTAACCTTAATATCTTTCCAAATGACCACCTTATAACCACCGATAATTTTCTTTTAACCACATTTAACTCCTAAATTTCCTATCTAACCATACATTACAATCTTGATTTATCAATTCCAATATCTTCTCACTTCTGTATCTTTCTCTTTCTGTCTATCTGCACACAGGTACTGTGTGTGCATGACCTCTAGTGAATCTAAAATGCCAAAGATAAACCACAACAGCTGGTAGGGTCCATTGTGGATATGATACAGAACACTTGAACAGGATAGTAGACAGACGACACAAACCTCTGTGGAGCAGGAGACGGACGCGGCCAGGAGTTAACACTCCCTGTTTCATGGGGAATCCTTGCTTGTCGCAGCCTCCCATGATTTTGAAAACATAGCCTTTAAATTCCTACAAAGCATAAAAAAGTCTCTGAATTAATATAGAACTCAAAGTGGAATTGATAGTTTTGGCACTAGAGAAGAGGAGGAAGGCATACCTCTCCAAGAGCATCTCCATTAACCTCCTGTGAGATCCTCTTGTCAAAAAATGCTCGGCTAGAGTCAATCAAGGTAGAAAAGGTAAGTAAACAATTAAAAACAACAAATATGGAAAAACTAATACACAAAATTGTCAAATTAAGCTGCAATGAGGGTTTATTGCTTGCCATCCAATACTTCATATGTGTGAATTTTACTAACAAGCTAACAGAATTGCATGTACCGGATGGCCATAATTTTTCCAAACCCATCATTGTGGTTTGAGTAAAAGTTGCATAAGCATATGTAAGGATGTTAGTTGAACAAATGCTCAAGGTTATAAGAGTAATAACAATGAGAAATCGAACACAGGTGTGACCACTTTCCTAGCGGTTTTGTAGGATATGAAGCAATCCATATCAAAAGAATCCTTGGCATATCCCAACCAACTGTATAACATTCACACGAATTCGATCTGCTCCAATTGGCCAAGACACACCTTTGATTCAATTGCAAGGACCTTATATATTAAAGTTTCAACATCCTTGTGTCTTAATTGAAGTTTTCTAGAGGTTTTTGCTATTGGTACAGATTTATGAGCATTACTATTCAATTTTTCAGGTCGTGCGACCCAATGGGTTTTTATTGCACAAGTATGACTCCTTGGTTGTTCCTGCTTTCAAAAGCTAAACCAAATCGACTCTATGACTCAAAAGTGACCTTAGTCAACATTCATTAATACAGTTTGCAACCTGGGGAAACCACCAATGTCAGCCTTTCCCTGATTAAAAATGCCTCCACAAACCATTCACCCTCCTCAGACCCTAAAATGTACCACCATTAACATTCTTCTACCAAACAAAAATATCAACCCCAAAAATTCCCTCCATTAAAAGTTTCAACAAAATTAGAGTTCTAGCAAAATTTTCTGACCCATAAAACCCATTTCACTACAGTGTAAGCTGACATCAAGTTACATCATCCAAAAAATAAAGGAAAAATGCAACCGTAAACCCACATTTATGGTATCCATCTTAGGATATCTAGTTATGATCATTTCTCCTATTCATACCACAATTTAATGTCACTTTCCGTGATGACCCAATTCAAGACAATTGATTCTTTCTACCAGCCTTACACAAAAGACACTCACGATGTAGGCTTACTAAGGATGATCTAATGTGCCGGATAAAATTTTCTCAAAATTCCAATTCATAAAGTTTCCTTTTACATCAAGGTCTACATAAGTGGAATTCTTAACTTCACATTCGAGAGAGTCAGAGACTGATTTTCAGCTTTAGTAATAACCACTCCACTAAATTACCAAACGATCACATTATAATCATCTTACCACTAAAAACCCATGGCAGATATAAAAGTTACACATTTTAACATAAGGATTTAGGCACCAGATACATTCCTAACAATGTGACAACTCCAGAAGCGATTATGAAAATTGTAAAGACAAAAGAGCTATTTGAATGCCCCTTAGGAGATTAAACTTCCACAATCTTATGAGAGGATAATGTTTAGGAGAAGATTGTTTCAGCAAACAAAGCCTCAGAAGATGCACACAGGAATTTCTTCCAGTAAAATTCAGTTGCAGAATAAAATTACATATCGCATATCACACCAAAACAACATATAGAAATATGTATCAATGAAGTACATTACAAAGATACATATGGAAGTATTAATAAGCATACAAACTTATAAAACCACGTGGGTGAATGGCGCTCAATTCATACATCTAAAACGCATTATAAGCTTTGAATTCAATTCACATCAGCTACAGAACTCCCCCCATTTCTACGACTTAAAACCCTAAAATTTTCCGGCCACGATTAAGAAAAAACTCACTATCTAATGAATTTGAGACTTACAGCTTCTGATCATCGTCGATTTCGAGCTTTTTCTGGCACCCCGTAGTGGGATTCGCAATGTTGAACTACCACAAAAACAGATACGTATATACAGTAAGAAGGAGAGATAGAGAGAGAGATTATAAATAGAGGTCGAACCTTCATGTTGGACGGAGGTTTGGTTGCACCGCGAGGAGCAGACGCTACGGCGGCAAACTGTGTTGAGGAAGCTTTCTGCTTAGGGTTTCCTGCGGCACGGTATCACAAGTAGGATATTTAAATTAGATATGCTGAATAACACTTTATCCCATTAGATTTCTAAAACTTCTAATTTCTCCCTTCAAAGATTACAAATATGATATTAGACCCTTCTAATTTGTCCCTTTTTCCCTGACCAAAAAAAAAAAAAATAACTCTTATGGTCTATTTGGTTTGCATCTCTAAAAATAGTATTCAAAAATAATTTTTTAGAAGAGTTTTTAAAAAGTACTTTTTGATATTTTTGTATTACTAAATTGATTTGGTTATATGATTTTAAAAATAATTTTAAAGTACAAAAAATAGTAAAACTTGTTTGGACAGTGATCTATAAAACTAATTTTTAACTTATCACTTCTGATCCAAAAAAAAAATTATCACCATGAAAATTTTCTCTCTCCAGCTAGGCAGTAAGCCTTCTAGAGTCACACAACTCTCTCTCTCATCTCTCTCTATTATCTTCTCATACAGCATCTCTCTCTATTCTCTTCTCATAGCATCTCTCTCTCCGTTGTCTTTTCACACTGCACAAACATACATATACACACACCCACACATACAACAAACACGCACAAAGCCATCGCACACACATACATTGCATAATACACACACACACACTCACAAATATATATATATGTGTGTGTGTGTGTGTATACATATTTGAACACAGATCTGTATACATACACAAATCTATACAGATTTGTTGCAAAGAGAAAGAGAGAGGAGACGGATTGCGTGATAGAGATAGAAGGCTACAGGACTCCAAAGTTGTGCCCTGTGATTTGTCGGAGCTGTGCCTATGATTCACCGAAAAATCTTGCAGGTTCAGTCGCACTTGTGATTTGTTTGACTCTTAGTCGTCAGAGTTCTCCAGTCGTCGGAGTGATATAGAAGACGTTTGTTGGTTTCACCGAGTGTAGAGAGAGAAAGCCAGGGGGATAGGAAGGCAAAACAAAAAAAAAACATAATTTTGCTCCTAAGGAGATTCGAAGGGGAGGCCTCATTAAAGAATGAGATTGTTTCCTTTGTTTTCTATTTTTGGCTTAAAAACTCATAAAACATCTAAATGATGTTCTCTAGTTTTTGTTCTCAATTCTTTTTTTTTTTTTTTGAAAAATTGTTGTTCAAACATCATCTTACAAAATTTTGTATTTTAAAAACAAAAAACTGTTTTTAAAATACAAACTAAATACGCCCTTAATATTTTGAAATGAAAAGAATGTGTCCTTTTTCATTTTTTTCACAATTTATGCTGCAAAGTCAAAACTACACTTTTAGTTGTTTGAAATGATGAGAATGTGCCTTTTTTTCTCTCGCGGTGTCATGCTCCAAAGTAAAATAAAATCGTTATAAAAAAACTTCAATTGGCTAAATTGGAATTCTTAGTTTAGTCTATACATAATTATATTTTAAAGAGTTAAAATATGCGTCATCTTTGAGAACTTTTTATTTGGAAAATGAGTCTTCTTGGATATTGATTGTCCAGTGTTAAGGCCTAATGGTTATTAGCAAAAGGTGAAACACTGAAAAAAAAAACTAAACTTATAGTTGAACACGATCGCTTACACCAATCAATAATATAAAATATGATTGATTTCAATAAATTTATTGGACGGTCTCAAATAAACTTATCTAACGACCACTAATATCTCTTTAAAAAATTTAATATCTAATTACGTCTTGCATTTTGACACATGTTACCCCTAATTAATGTATGCAAAAAGCCTTAAAAGTGTTTTCAACATGTTGTTCTATCAAGAATATTGAGTCCTTTGACTTTGTTCATCAATTCTTAATGATTTTTAATTCAAAATAATAATGATTGAATATATGCTGCTAACATATAAAAAAGATTTCCTCACCAAAAAATGAAGAAGATTATGTATTATGGGGTGAAATCACACATAAGTAATTTACAACTTACCAACAGAAAAATGCATGGGTTAGTAATACATGTTCCATTTCATATTAGAAGCCGTTTACTTTTTTCTATCTGAGTTGAAATTTTCACAAATGTGATCTCAACAATCTCATTCTCGTGTGTAAAGCACATAGGTTTTAGTTCCCTAAGAGTTTGATTAACCACTCTTTATGAACACTACGTTCAATCACTCTTATAAGAACCACACTTAATATTGTTCTTCATTTGTCACCATATCAACACTTTGTTGAAAGCCTTCTCACGCGTAAAGGCCGCACTTAATTTGTTCTTATCAAAAGTTGTGTTCTCATGACTTTAATACCAAGAGTCTATCACTATTCTTATGAGTCATAATTAAGATGGGCATGTTATATTTGCTTCTTTGAGAGTTTATTCAAGATCTATTAGCTCTGATACAACTTGTAAGGAGACAAAGTGCCTTGTGATGCACTTTAAGCTTATAGGAAGTGAGTCGTCTTAATATATTATAACACTTCCACTTCATTTTCTGAGATGTGGGATTCCCACGTATGTCAACCTAACACTCTCTCAGTCATGCGTGAACCACATCAAACTTAATTTCTTTCTGAATCTAATTCACCATTCTTTACTAGTACCGTGTCCAATTGTAGTGACCTGGTGTATGGTTATCAAGAATTGGCTCAGAAATAGGGGTGTATGTACAATGTCACCCTTTAGAAAAGCCGAAATCATTGTACTGTTGTCATTTTGATCATACCCTTGAGATTCTTAAGCCTGTAAGAGAATGCTGGGATCGGTACAGGGGACGAAGGAGAGTTGGTTCATGGCACTAGTATCTGATGCTGTGTGGGGTGTTGGATTTGGGTTAGAAGTGTGTCCGATGAAGAGAGAGGATGTCAAAACGCAAGTTTAGTTTAGGCGACATAAGTTTAGCGCATACCGGAGAGTTAAGGGTGCAAAAGTGTAATTTGAGGATGAAATTAGATGTCCAATTGACCTCCAAAAATTAAATAGAAAATTTTCTATGATGTGATTTAATATGCATGTAATTATATATATATATATATATATATATAACTAATTAATTAATTTTTTGTATTTGATGTTATTTACCAAAATGTCATTACATGGCTACCACTTCCAAGCAGCTTGCTGGCTGCGTTTTGAGGTCCTCTACCACATGCCGTCCACCCAGCTTCTTGGGGAGATGACAAACACATTTGCTGGTTGGCTGGATAGGATAGAATCAACAGAAAGTGAGAGAAATAGAAGAGAAAAATTAGAGAGAGAAAGTGGAAGCTTGAAGAACTCAATTTCTATAGGTTTGAATTTGGGCAACAAGGGGTATATATCTAGCCTAATTAGGTGCTAGCATTCTATTTCTGATGCTTAAAACTTGTTTTGATTACTATTTTAGCAAGAATTTCTATTTTGAAGTTTTAGGGTTTTCATGTGTATTGAAACGGGTTTGAAGTTTGGAATTGTTTTAACTTAATTTGGAGTTTGAGATTGGTTTGTGGGGGTTGTAGATGAAGTTTAAGGGTGTTTGGGATGGTTGTCGTGGTTGATGGCGGTGGTTTGAAGAGGAGGAAGGTTTTGCTATGGTTTCTCAATTTCGGAATAGGTGATACTTTTCAAATTTATTTTAAAATTATTTCACATGTTATTTATGATCGTTTGTCATGTTTTGAAATATATGATTTGGTGTTTTGATAATGGCTTCAAAACTAGACCCAAATTAGGGTTTTGAGTGCGATTACACGCAACTGTTCGAATCGATTGTATGACTCATATTGAATGAAATGTCAGGATCCTTTTAAATGAAATATAGGCACACACAGATTGAATGACAAAGAGTTTAGTTTCTAGGTTGAGGCTGTAGATAATTTCTCATTGAGTTCATAAATGTCTAGGCGATCCTGTTAGTCCTCGGACTTGGGTACCGAATTGATTTTACGTAGCGTATATTCCTTGGGGTGAAAATCCCCTAAAAAGTTTATTTGATTGATCTTGATGATCATATTGACTCTAAGTGGTCTGTTAGGATTATTGCTCACTAGTGTGGCACTATACATCATGTGTTTGAATTTTTTTTTACAATTTTATTTAACTGTTACTATTTTACATGAAATGACAATGTTTCTCATATATATGTATCAAGTGCTTGTTTCACTTTTGTCCAATCATATCAAGTTATGTATTTTTAAATTCGTTTGTCTGATATTAAACTACTCTACTGAGATGTTAATGCTCACCCTACTATATTTCTCATTTTCATATTATAGCTGATGGTTGAGGAGTCTGTAAAATTATAATCCGTTTGGACTCTTGAACAGTTTTTGTACAAGTGTTGTGAGCATATACATATAGGAAAAACAACTTTGGTTTAGATACTATACATGTATCTTAGGGTCTCTGGAATAAAATAAGATAGTTACATGATATGTATTATATTTATATATGTGATGAATACTTTAAATTGTTTAAATGGGTTAGTTCACTATGCTATACTATAATACTCTAACGTTATTAAATATTTATGTGGGTCAAGATAACATATATTGCATATTCGGATCGAGTTGGGGCGTGACACAAATCACTTTTTGGAAGAATCCACTGTTCTACTATACTAAGATAGTTTAGACACTCTTATAAGTCATCATATTCTTTCTATCAAGAGTTCGAATATCGACCCGTGTCTCATCCCACTCTACACAGGATCTAATAATTCCACTGCTTTACCATTCTGTCAACAAGACAAAGCGTAGCAACATCATCAACCGTTCACCTGACTCCAACTGTAAGAGTCTTTATAGTTCTTCTCAAAGAGTCATCATCAATGTCGGCGTGTTTCACTGTTCAAAAAGTTTATCCAAAATGGTTATCCACTTTTTGAGTTTCCCACAACAATTAATTTGCTCTAATACCACTTATTATAAGACAATGATTTTAGAAGATTTGACATATATATATTTAGAATTCAGATTCACTTAAAAATTTAAGCCTACGAGTAAAATAAACAGTGTTTTATAACTAAATTCAACATTTAAAATTGAAGACATTCAATACTTTTTCAATTAACTATATAGGATAACCAAAACTCACATCATTAAAAATTTTAAGTATCTCTTAAAAATAGACTAAAATTTTAAATAGCAAGCTACTTATTTATACTTAATGTTGAAAATGCTAGTCAACAAAAATTTTATAAACTTTTTGTAATTGATAAGTCTACTCTCAAATAATTTGATCTCAATCATTTTACACAACAAATTTTCAACATCCACCATCCCACCACCACCATCATTGTCGCTGCCACCATCACCAACACCACTATTACCGCCAACATATTATTACTATCCTACCATAACCACTATTTCATCACTGTCAGCGTCCACTATCACCATTGTTACTGTTGTCATCACTATCACTATTGCCACTGTTATCCTGTTATCACCACTATCACCTATGCCCCTTTCATCTACCATGACTGTCAATTCGACCATATCTAGCACCGCCCCACTACCACCCTAATACAACTATTGTTGCCACAATGTCACTAGTACCACCATTCACATTGCCACCGTTGACACCACCATTTTCTTCGTTGTCACATTTATTATCATTATCATCATTGTTGCTTTGTCACAACCACCATTATTGTTACCCTACCACCACCATCACCATGTATCTTCACCCCCCCCCCCCCAAACACCACAAATACCATCATAACTCCATCATATCAGCCACCACTCACCACCACTATCTATCTTTACCCCTACCCCCACCATTATTACTCCATCATATGTGTCACAACTCACCACTATTGTCATCGTATCACCGCCACAATCTATTTTCGCCCCTGCTCCCCCCTCCCCCCAAAAACAAAAAATCACCATCATCATTCCACTATATTTGTCACCAACCTCACTATCTTGACCTTTACAAAAAAAAAAGTGATAAATTTATTCCTTGTTGAGATGAAATTATAATCTTTTGAGATGAGATTTCAATCTTTTAAGTTAAAGTTATCACCTTTAGAGTTGATATTATAATGATTTAAAGTTAAGTTATAATTTATAGGCACAAAATTACTACCTAGAGGTGAGATTATAATTTTTTGAGGCCAAATTTTAATTTTTAAGGTTTTTTTTTATATGAATCGATCCCAAATTTGTATGATCAATCATGGATCTTTAAGATACATACAAATAAACTTTTATAGCTGGTTAATTAGTGGGTGATATTTATGATCCGTTTGATAGAATGGATGAAAAATAAGAATTATAGAACAATATGAGAAATAGACTTTCCATCCTTAAAGAGAGAAATTTTTTTTTCTCTTTCTATTTGGTAAAATGAATAAAAATTTGTAGAGATTAATTTTCTATTGTTTAGTATTAAAGAAAAAATAGAAGAAACGAAAACATATACTAACTTAATTTATAATTATACACTTGCATATGAAATAGGATTTTGATCTCTTCCTTTTTTTTGTGTCTATGCAGGTTAAATGACATGTGATAATAAATAATACTTACCAAATGTTGGATAAAAAGTAATGCAGTGTTGTGATTGATGGCCTTTATATATATATATATATATATATTAAATAAACTTAAAATTTTAATTTGATGAATTGTTATTATTGAATAGGTAATGAATTTCAATAAATACTAAGATTCACAATTAAATTAACGATAAATATAATAGCCACATCATTAAGTCAAACTTTTAAATTAGATTTTTACATTACTCTTATGTATATTGTTTGAAAGGACAAAATAATAAAATCAGTATTTTAATCCCGGTGGGCGGAACATATTCATTTTCTATCTCACATTCCTTCCATACTTAATTTTCACTCTAACCCAACAATGAAAAATGAGTCTTTCCATCTTATTTTTCAGAATTTCATTTCCATTCACATCCACCCTATTTCCTACCATACCAAATATTCAACTTGACAACCACGCCCGGTATTGACATTTGGGCTGCAGGTACCAAACTGTTTGCCTCCGCGTAGAGGCTACTAATTCGAATCTCTCCTAATTTTTTGGAGTAATTTAGTAATTGAGTTTGATCTTTAATAACCTAAAAATTTTAAATTTAACACAAAAGGATTAGTCACCATCATATTCTAACTCAAATTAAGTCATGATAACCAAACGCTAATCTCAAAAGAATAAACAATATAAACCAAAATAATAATAAGGATTAATTGCACTAACGGTCCTCAAAATATGAAATTTATCTCATTTTGGTCACTAAAATTTCAATTGCATTATTTTAGTCCCCGAAGTATTGAATATATTTTTATACCCCTCATGCAGACAGTGTTTAGATTGCTAATAATTGTTTGTCATAAACTTGTAACATGATGCTAAAATATGGACAAAAAAAAATTTGGATAACTCTTTATCAAATTTTACTCTAATTTTGATTAAATATCTATCTAAATTACACAGTTTTGATCATAAACTTTTCAAATTTTTGTTAAAAGCTACTCATACTACACATTTTTTTATTAAAAACTACCCAAATTTTGTTTAAGAGTTATTATAATTATTTTTTATCCATATTAAGCTATTATGTAACAAGTTTATGATAAAAATTTATTAGCAATTTGTACATTGTCTGCTTACAGAACGATATAGAAGTATATTCAATATTTCAATAATCAAAATGATGTAATTAAAATATTATAGATTAAAATAAAATAAAATTTCATACTTTAAGGACCTTTAGTACTTATAATAATAATAATTTGAATCTCCTCCGACTGCTGCTGCGAATCACCGAAGGAAGTTTCGTACTCGGTACAACATTTAGAATTCAGCAACTTGCAAAATGCAGTCGCCCGACGCGGCTCAAGGCTAGTCAACACTTGGGCCCACATAGAAAACTGATGACAATGAGAATAAAACAGGGGAACTTAGGGAGCTAAATTCAATATTTATGTGGACCCCACAGGATAAAACAAAGGGTTAAATTAAACAACGACAATTAGAAAATGATACGCTTAAAGTATTTTATAATTTATTATTTTCAAAATTAATAGTCACAACTAAACTAATACAAGATTTACGACTAGGATCCATTCTATGGTATGGTATCCATATTTTTTTATGGGTACCATAGTATTAAGCTAAAACAAAAGGAAACTGAATGTCAAAAAAAAAAAGCAACTATTACCCATAATTAGATTGCATCGTTTTGGTTGTTTGCATGAGTTGGGGCGTAGAGATCTAAAATTATAATATTACTTAAATTTAATTTATTAATTTAATTTAAACATATTTAATGATTTAGTTAATAATGTGACTTAACACTAAATGGTGTTTTCTTTTTTGTCATTTGGTGACGACAAAAAATGAATTAAATCAAGAATAGAATAGCAATTTATTAACTTTATGTAGCATTTATTGGTTCTCAAAAATTTAAACAACCACAAAAAAACAGTATGGGCTGAACCAGACCAGAGTACATATTGTTGTATTTGAATTGCCAATAAAGGATTGACTGCTTATAGTACCTTATTATTTACTAACTTTTGGATTGTCTATATCACCTTTTTAATATAACTTATTAATTTTTGAGGCCATTTACTATTTTTTGAATTTACTTATTACTATTTTTAATTATAGTTCATTATTTTTTGGTTGAAACTTACTGGTTTGAGGAGGGTTCATTTTTCAATATAGTACCCAAAAATAGAATTAGATATAATAGTGTTCTATGCAAGTAAGGGACACATGGGTGGTGCTTAAACGCCGACCTACCCTCTTGGATTTAGGTTATAGGGAAACGTTACAATACTGTCATGGTATGGTATGGTATTAAAAATTATAATTTTTTTAAATCGTAAGTTATAACTTATAAAGGCATGAATTGAGATCGATACTGAAAGTTGAACCTTTCAAGATTAAGTTATAATTTATAAAAGTTAAATTACAACACATTTTATGCCTTAACTCATTAAAAAAACCGTTTACAATAACCATTTATATGTCTCATTTTGAATGACGTTTTTTAAGTCATCAAGTCAAACTATTTTATCAGTAAATATATTCATAGTTGAAAATTTTTCTCAAGTTTAAAAAAGTTATTTGAAATTAAATTTTTAATCATGAAAGCATCATTTCAAATGACGTACGTTTTCAAAAATAGAATGTGTTTGAAAAATAAGTTTACAAGTGATTATTTTTAGAAAATAAAATTTTGAAGATAATGGGTATTGTAAAAAAATCTGTTAACAGGTTATGTCATATACGAATTTCTGTCAAAAAATGGTCAATTCTAACATGTCGATTTCGAGTTATATTTTTACGTTTTATCAAAATTTTGCCACCCCTACTTAGCAGATTAGATGTAGTTGGGTTAAAAAGTGTTTTACCTTTCCTTTCCAAGGGCAAACAAAAAGTAGAGAAACTCGTAGGGGCAGCTCAAAGATAAAAATGGACCGAAAATTTAAATATTTTGAGTTTATAATTTGATAATTCTTCTGGAATATAATTATAAAAAAAATTTCTCTCATAAATTTTCTAATTCGAACGTTAATGAAGTAAGAGATCATTTATCCGGCATTGTTCATATAAATTGCACACGTTCCACGTGAAGAAATACGTTAGGAAGTCCAAAGTGATTGAATTTGCTAAGAAGTATCCACATGACAACACAACGTGGGCAAATGTAACACAACATATTCATGTTCAACGTGGAAGTGCCCTCTACCCCACACCATGTGTCGAGCTCGAGACCCCCTTTAAGTTCTAGTCAAATCTTTCCATTGACTGTACAGTGTACTGCCTAAAAACACACTATAAAACGACCTCACTCTTTTCAGTTCCCTCCAACTTGCTCGCTTACCGAACTCACTCCTTGATCATATCTCTCCAACTTGCTCGCTTATCAGAGTACCCCAAGCCAGAAGCTTAGACATGGAGGTACCACCACAGCAGCATCAAACCAACAGAGTTGTTAAGGCTTTGCTTATTCTCCTGAACTGTAGTTTAATGGCAATTGGTCAAATTGGTGGTCCTTTGCTCGTTAGGCTCTACTTTCTTCACGGTGGAAAGAGAAAATGGCTCACTGCTTGGCTTCTCACTGCTGCTTTCCCATTGCTCATCTTCCCAATTGCCATTTCTTTCACTCGAACCCGAACCAAAGCTCAATCCACCAGACTATTTGTCACACCAAGGCTACTTCTTTCTTGTGCCTTCATTGGATTTCTTCTTGGTTTTGACAGTTACCTCTACACCTTTGGCATGTCTTATCTTCCTCTTTCAGTTTCTTCTCTTTTGAGTACATCCCAGCTCGCTTTCACTGCGTTTTTCGCGTTCATCGTTGTGAAGCACAAGTTCACGCATTACTCGGTAAATGCTGTGGTTTTGATGACCTTTGGGTCGGTTATGTTGGGGTTACACATGAATGGAGAGCTTCCTAGTGGAGAATCAGATGGGAAATATTCGTTGGGGTTCTTCATGACGCTTGCTGGTGCTGCTCTACATGGGTTCTTAATGCCAGCAGTGGAGTATACCCACTTGAAGGCTGAAGTTCCTGTCACTTTTGATTTGGTCATGCAACTTCAGTTCCTAATATCACTCTTTTCCACTCTTTTTTGCACTGTTGGGATGATCATCAACAAGGATTTTCAGGTAGGCAATACATTTTAAAGCACTTAGGAAGTTACTAGATAACTAATTATACATGTCAAGCAATATGCTACTTCTCTTGAATTGTCCCATGAAATAAAAAGACAATTCAATGCACGAGACTGTTATCATTTTGATATCAAGAATCAAATTATTAGTCGGGAAATCATGGAGAGATTAAAGAGTTTTGCTCAATAACTAAGCAGTTATTACTAGTCTTACATCCACATCACACACAGTTATCATCAGATTTTTTTTTTCTCCGCACTAAGTTACACAATAATCCTAACATAGTGAACATCATTTTTTGGTGCAGGCTATACCGCAAGAGGCTGCAGAATTCGAGCTAGGGGAGACCAAGTACTACATGATACTAATATTGGCAGCAGTGGCACTGCAATTCTCGGTTATCGGAAGTCTCGGGGTGATCTTCTGCTCAACCTCTCTCTTGGGAGGCATTGTGTCATCTCTTTTAGTTCCGGTCCAGCAGGCCGTCGCTGTAATTGTCTTGCCGGAAAGCTTCAATGCCGAAAAGGGTATGTCCTTGGCGATGTGCCTCTGGGGTTTTGCCTCCTACCTTTATGGAGAGTACAAGGTAAGTCGAAAGAAGCAGACAAGGAAACTACAGCCAGTGGAAGAAGTATGAAATACAAGTATTCTCAATATAGCTGATGGAATTCCAAGTCTAGACAACACAATTGCATTGTGGCCACTACAAAATACAAGTTGTTTGTTATTTAATGAGGCTATGTCAAATTGACATATCATTAAGTTAGAGACTCTTTTATAAGTTGATTAGATGATAGTATGGGTTTAGGTAGACCAATCTAATTTCATCTGATTGGACTTTTAAAGTAGGTTTCTATAGAAATATGATTTATTTTATCTCATATTTGTGCATATAAAATCAAATCAAATATTATTGCTTGCGATGATGGGATTGTTTTTTTTATAATAATCTCTTCTTCCAATGAAATGTCTAAGGTTATAACAGTCATTTAAATTCTTAATCCATTGGTGTCAATTTTGGTTCAATTTAAATAATTCTGATTATGAATCTCAATTCAAGTGTACAAGTCAGACCAAGATAAGACCTCAGTTTTTAACCTCACAAATTTGAGTGTGTGATCCACATAAAGTATTAATGGGACCTACCAACATTTATCTCCAATCCCGTTACTTCATGGGAAAATGACATATAAGTATTACTTTTTTTTCATAAAAATCTATGAAATCCTAGTGAAGTCCTATTCTTAATATTTTATTTTAATTAAGTTCTAAATTTTATTATATTTAGTTACTAAAACCTTTCATTCTTTTGCATTCTTAAAATCAATTAAGAGGACAAAAATTCCTTATTTACAAAATTAACATTGAATCATTAAAAAAAACTCAGATAACATAAACTTCATGGTATGACACAAAGAATACTCACATTTTCTTATTGTCTTATCTCATTAGGGTAGCTAATATTAAAACTCAAGATAATATTTATTGATTATTTAATAAAATAAGAAAGATTAAAAAAAATACATGGAGAATATTTGTTGATTAATTCTATTTTAAAGTCATTACAAATCAAACACAACAACTAAAATAAATCCTTAACTTAATCGTTTTAAATCCAATATAAATTAATATAATATAGTTTTGGTAAGAATTAGCTTAAATTAATATTAATGTAGAATCTGTAATATTCTATTAGTTAATTCTAAGAATGCAAAAGAATGAAAGAGTTTTGGTAACTAAAATGTAATGATAAAATTGAAATATAGCGAAATTATGACTTAATTGAAATAAAATATTAAAAATAAGACTTCATTTATATGAAACAAAAATGATAGGACTTAGGATGTATTTGGTAATGTTTCCATTTTTACGTTTTTTAAAAAAAAATAAAACAAATTTTTATTTTTTCTGTGATAAAAATTAAAAATATAAAACATATTTAATAGTTATTTATATTTAAAAAATTGTGAAAACCAAAATAAAAAACATATTTTGTATTATATCAAAAATCCACTATCCAACACCACCTACTCCCACCACTAACAACCACCCAACATCACATCTAACCACTGAAATCTACCACCCACCACCTCCAAATTACCTGAAACCCATCACCCCCCCCCCCCTCGAAAACCCACCCCGAAGCCCCCCACCTCCACAAAGCCACACTGAAACCACCCAACCCCACCCTCGAAAACCCACCCCCCCCCCCCCCACCCCCCAAAAAAAAAAAACACCCACCATCAAACCCCCCCCCCCCCCCCCCCGAAACCCCTACTCCCAAACCTTGAAAACCCAACCAATAACCTCCCACCCCCAAAAACCCATCCCGAAACCACCCAACCCCACCCCTGAAATCCCACACTGAAACCCCCCACCCCCACCCCCGAAAACCCACCATCTCTCACTCTCGAAAATCACCACCCCTGAAGTTTAAATAGCCTGCCATAATTCTTTGACGAAGAGGGAGAGCCTTCAATTGGCGATGGCGAAGGTGAAGAGGCAGAGCCTTCAATTGGGTAGAGACGTTGGTTGGAATTTGAGAAGATGCAAGAGAGTTTCCTTCATTCTGGCTTTTTATATGGTGAGGAAAAGGGAAAATATTTTTGTTGTTAATGAGTTTTGAAGTCTAGACCTTATGAAATGAGACTCTCTATCTTTTGTCTGTTTTTTTTTTTTTTTTATGTTTTTAAAATATCATTTTAAATGTTTTTAAAAATTGGCATTGTTTTTAAAACAGATCAGGAAAAAAAACAAAATATTTACCAAACTTATTTTTATTTTCATGTGTCTAAAAAATTGAAAACAAAAAAAAAAAAAAAAAAAACTTGCGGTAACCAATAGCAACGGTAATGAATATATGGTATCCATATTTTTTTATGGGTACCATAGTATTAAACTAAAAAAAGAAGAAATTGAATATAAAAAAAAATGCAACCATTACCCACAATTAGATTGCATCATTTTGGTTGTTTGCATGAGTTGAGACGTAGAGATCTAAAATTATAATATTATTCAAACTTAATTCATTAATTTAATTTGAACATATTTAATTGATTTTGTTCATTTAGTTAATAATGTGACTTAACAGTAAATGGTGTTTTATGTTATTTGATGATAACAAAAATGAATTAAATCAAGAATACAATAGCAATTTATTAACTTTATGTAGCATTAATTGCTTCTCAAAAATTTAAACAACCACAAAAACAGTATGGGCTCGACCAGACCAGAATACACTGTTGTGGAAATGACTCATGTGACACATAGGAGATAGTAATGAAGTATGTTTTTGGGATGATAAATGGATCTCCCTTTCTCCCAAGTCTGGCAGTTCAATCTACAAAACCCCAAGAGTGCTCCATCACCAAGGTTGTGGATATCATTATGGAGAACCCTAAAGGACGGAAAACCTCTAGTCTGAGTAGTGTTATTTCGAGGGTGGAGTAAGGGTAAGAGAATTTGGTGGTCCAATAGCAAAGGAGATTCCACTGTTAGGTCTTGATACAGGTTGAGATGTAAGTGTAAGGGGTAGAACCCTCCACTCAGGATTTCGGCTTGACCTGGGTTAACCCACGCGGGCGACCCCCAGTAGCCTTTACCTCTCTTCGCCAATAGGACCCTTTCCTAAGGCAATCTCACATCGGAAGAAAGTCGTCTTCCCCCCTCGCATATAAGCCCTTGCACTCAAAGGAGGAGGTACCCACTAGGCACCTGATCAGGTCGCTAGTGGGTACCTCCTCCTTTGAGTGCAAGGGCTTATATGCGAGGGGGGAAGACGACTCTCTTCCGATGTGGGATTGCCTTAGGAAAGGGTCCTATTGGCGAAGAGAGGTAAAGGCTACTGGGGGGTCGCCCGCGTGGGTTAACCCAGGTCAAGCCGAAATCCTTCAAGTGGAGGGATGAGATCCGTAGCGATTTCTACCCCTTACAGTAAGTTTGCCAGGTCTGTCGGAGGTTAGCTCTTCTGTTTTCCTTCATCCCAAGCTGTGGCAGACCATTTGGAATATGAAGGCAGTATCAATGGTTAGACATTTTTAGTGGAAAGCTTGTCATAATATCCTTGCTACACAGGAAAATCTGTTTAAGAGGAGGTGG